AATTGCGGTCACACACCACACATACACTGCCACAGAATAAGCCATGTAACGTCCACTGTTCAGATTACACGCTCTCACTGGTTCCATTTTCATTACCCAAACAACCCGCTATCCTTGGATTTCTGGCTTACCCACCCCGCTACCCACGTCTGATCAGCTATACCCATCCAACGCTCACCCATTTTCGTCTCTATCTGTCCATTATCTGGAATTAAAAAAGATATGACGACGCCTACCTAGACGTAGCATTTTTGCATTCATATTTGCGGAAGTAGTATCAGTGCGGCTCATAATGCTTGAAAGATGCAAAACAGTGATGAAAGCCGTTTCCACGGTGGATGAATGCACAGAAAGATATAAAGACGGTTTTTTTTCTATGAAGTATTTATGTATATTAAACACTCACACTATCAGTTATGTGAATCGGTCGTGGGGCTCGGATGTTGACTGTGATAATATTGTTCACATCGGTGCTATGAGGAGCAACGCGGGCTTTGATAATCGTTTCATTCAAGGACCATCATCTTGGATCAGGTTAATGTATGTAAGCCCTGTAAACTCTGTAAGTACTGTAAGCAAGCCCTGTAGGTGCTGTAAGTAGGCTCTGTAAGCGCTGCGTACCTTTGGACATGGACGCTACAATGATAGAGGAGTTTGTTTTGTTGTGTCTGCGTCAGAATGTTTTAGCCATCCATTTATTTTGTCCTTCAGAATGTTCACCGAATGTGTTTACTAAATTTTGAAAGGTTGCCGTTACAAAGTGATCTGACATTATACCAGTCCATATGTTTTTAAATATCTGCAAAACTATTTTCTAACCACACACCTTTTATCAGCGCTTATCTTGCCGAAAATCGCTGATAAAAGGTGTGTGGTTGGAAAATAAACGCTGCATTTTTTTAAGGTGTAGAAAGTTTTGCACGGTAACCATTTTGAAAAACGGCTAATATGCGACATTTATTGAACCAAACATCGGACGCTTCTTCAATATCTCGTCCATGCCAGCATTCGTACCGTACTATCTCCAAAAACTTGTGCTCAACCCAGCCGGTTATCCACTCCTTATACATAGAGTGCATCCACCCAACCTATGACAGCTTTCAATTCAGGTGTCAAGCTGGTCACCGTCGCCAATGGTTTCCAGGCAGGTTAGGAGAGAGCATGTGGTTGCACAGAATGAATGCAGCGTTACGCACGATACCATCATTCATATCAGGCTGGTAGGCATTACGTGAAATAATTGATCAGTTTGGGCGATGGTTGCTGAAGATCCATGATATGTTTAAGGGCATGATCTGTTTAAGGTGTGAATGTGAATTGAGGCGGTGTGTTTGTATGAGATCGTGTGGATCTACTGATCAGTTAAAGAATGTGAACCAATCTGCAGTAAGATCCAACAAATGTTGTTGGTCTGAATATTTCGCAACAGGCAAAAGTTCAACTACAAACAAGTCTGCACGTTCTCGTTAAGATCGTGAGCCTACCGAAAACTCCTTTGCACGTTGCTGACGCATTGTGCATGAAAGGTCACGCCCTGTCCGGCTGGTCTGAATGACGTCTGCAATCATCTCCAACCGTTCAGCTCATCTTCAGCGTGACCCATCGGCGAGGCTCTGGCCTGGACATGTGCGTACTGCAGAAGGTAATCGAGGTGCGATCTAGATAACTTCGAAATTCATGAATATCATGTTTTAGCTGTTACCAAGAGAAGATACGTATACAGCTAAACCATGATCGGCCAAGTGTCTTCGTATGCAGATGCCGGTCGTCGCAAATAACAAATAAGTGTATCGCCATTAGAGACAGAGGTCGAGTCGGCCTCGTCCCGATCAACGCCAAAGCCGTTTCCTTGCCGCCTCTGAGGGACTGAGGGACTTGCCGCCTAGGAAGCTCCCCCTTCGTTAGGCCAGCACGCGTAAGCGGAGGTCTTACCGCACGCCGCGCCATGCATGGGCTCCAGCGCGCGCATGCGCCTAGCGCACCGGCCCCTGAGGAGCGGCCGGCAATGCCCAGTCATTCACCCCGTCTGGAGGGCGGCGTGCCGGCGCGGCGGCGCTGCAGGCAGACACCGCGACGGCACGGCACGAGCGGCCGCTCACAGCAGCGGGAGGTGCGGAGTCCGCCGCTGAGAACGGGGTGTTGCCGGCCGCGGGCCCGCAGCCCGCCTCAGGAACGGGAGCCGGGACTTGGTGGCAGCGTTCTGGGACGCACGCGACAGACGTATAGCTGGGATACGATGGCCTCGTCCCGGGACGCGGCAGGCGTATAGCTGGGACTGGAGGCGCCAGCGGCCCGGGACGCGGCAGGCGTGTAGCTGGGAGTGGGTGTCAGCGGCCCAGGACGCGGCAGGCGTGTAGCTGGGGCTGGCGGTGTCAGCGGCCCGGGACGCGGCAGGTGTGTAGCTGGGGCTGGCGGTGTCAGCGGCCCGGGACGCGGCAGACGTGCAGCTGGGGCTGGCGGTGTCAGCGGCCCGGGACGCGGCAGGCGTGTAGCTGGGGCTGGCGGTGTCAGCGGCCCGGGACGCGGCCGGCGTGTAGCTGGGGCTGGAGGTGTCAGCGGCCCGGGACGCGGCAGGCGTGTAGCTGGGACTGGAGGTGTCAGCGGCCCGAGACGCGGCAGGCGTGTAGCTGGGGCTAACGTTGCGCTTCAGGGGTACAGCAGACGCGAGACCCACGACAGCGGCGTAACAAGGCATGGGCCCCGGTCCGCGACGCTAATGATACCAGCGGCGTGTCACGGCCAGCAGCAGCGAGCCAGACATCAGCCCACGGCCGTGACAGAAGCATAACCGACCCGAGTGGCGGCACTCGGCGCATCAAGTCCCATGTTTAATGCAGCACGTGCCATCGATTACACGGCCGGTGCGGCGCCGGCCGGGCCCCGCGAGCCGGTGGGCCTCCCCAGCCGACTGGACGCCTGGAGAGCGGCGCCGCTCGGCCGGCAGGCCGGCCCGCTGCTGGCCGCCCCGCCACCTCGGCTGGCACCCCGGTCACGCGCTGCGCGCTGATCAGAGGCGCCGGCACGGCTCGGCTCGCTATGCGCTCTCGGCATTAGGTGATCGCCCATTCGGACAGAAGAGCAACAGCCTCATTTGAGGAGCGAATGTCAACAGCCGGCTCCAGAGGAGCAGTTGATGACGACTCGGCGGAATTGTGCCCGCTACCCTCGGCCCCGCGGCAACAAAGCGGAGCTTGCTGTCTGCTGCGTCGCGGCAGCTAACGGAGACAGGCACATGCAAAAGAGACTGCGGTCTCTAGCAGCACGAGTTTTGCTCGGGTCACTACGAGCACCGCACTGGACATGAACCGAAACCACGGCAGAAAAGACGGCTAAAAATCAGGCTCCGTCGTCGGTGATGGTGCAGCTTGGTGCAGCCTCACCAATAAGCGCGGTAGACGTTTTACAGCGCATGGCTCTGACACCACCGGCGCTAAAAATAGCACTGCCTTCAGAGGAATACAGGATTTGACCATCTTGATGGCCATGTAGATCCAGTTTGTGTGGTGTGGAGGTTAGAATATGCAGACACCTGGCATGGCCCTCCTAAATAGTGTGCAGCTGCAGGCACAGATGCACACTCCCATTGCGCTGCCATCCGCCCTGTAACATGCATATTGCATGGCTATCGGTTGTTATTTAAAATAAGCAATGCAAAAGAAGCCGCCTGAAGCACAATGCTAAGTTATCAGCAGCTCAGGCCAACAGCTCAGTGAAACGAGTAACGATTTGCATCCACTGATTTCAGCTGAATAACCAATAGCTTGCGACAGGCCGGTAAAGTCAGCACTATTTCAGCCGGGGCTGGAGCAGGACGGTGACGGGCCCGCGCGACGCGGCGTTTAAGGCCTGACCGTGTGCCCTCACCCCCGGTCCCACGACCAAGCCGCCGATCCGGGGCACAGACCGACCCCTGACCTCACCGGGGTCACGGGTCAGGACCTCGCCGTCTGCGCCCTGATTTGCACAGCGTCACGGCGGCGCAGCTCACCTTGCAGCGGTGCTTCTGGAGATGATGCGGCGCCGCGGGGGACGTGTGGGTGCCCGAGCCGGGCGGTGGGTGCCGTCGGGGCACGTGTGGGTGCCCGAGCTGGGCAGTGAATGCCGTCGGGAGACGTGTGGGTGCCCGAGCTGGACAATGGGGTGCCGGTGGTTGACGTGTGGTGTCCCGAGTCGGGCGGTGGGTGCCGTCGGGACACGTGTGGGTGCCCGAGCCGGGCAGCGGGTGCCGGTGGTTGACGTGTGGTGTCCCGAGCCGGTGAGCGGGTGCCGGCGGCCTGACGTGTTCCAACGAGAGCGGCAGCCGGCGCGTGCCCACAGCACCGTGCAAGAGTTCAGGCAACGGTGCCTCTCGCCCGAGGCGAGTCAGATGCACAGACGACGCCGGGTGGCCAGCCCGGCTTGGCCCCGCTCACGGAGAATTACGGCAGCCAGAGTCCGGAACGTACTGTACCGACGAGGCGGCGCAGCGCGCTTTGGTCCCTTCTACTCGGAGTCGGTAGAAGCGGGTGTTCCTCGCATCCGAAATATGCAATATAAATGCTATGGTGTGGTAAGGAAAGGAATGTTGTAACAATCGTGTTTCCCTGTGTCCTAACAGAGCACAGACAAGACTCGCCGTGTTGACAGTCTGTCCACTGTATTAAACGAGCAGTGCAGGTGATAATTCGGCTTACCGGCAGAGTGGTACTCATGGCCGTAGGCGCCGTACGCTATATCAAAATAACCTACGCGTCTGGGTCATCGCAGAGCAATCTACATGATACGTCTGCGCCGGGGTATAGCTGGGTAATGTGGCGCCAGGGCTTGGCGAAGGCGATGCCGCACAGCTTTTAAATTACACTCATTCGATACTGTCGTGGGAGGTTCTTACTCCATTGCGAGCGCATCACCACGCCGGATTTCCCGGCGTGATTCTCCGGCGTCTGGCGACGGCCGGCCGTGGGGCCGCGGACACCACGCCGTCACTCAGCGCGAGTCGCTGGGGTATCCAGCGTGCTCACCTGCTTGCCGACGGGCTCCTCCGGCCGCAGCCGCTTCCCGGTGTACCCCTCCACCATCATCGCCATGGTACGACTGACGCCGGCCGCGCTGCAACCGACGTCCACCGGGTGGCGCTCTCGTCGGCCTGCAACCGGCCGTCGCCAGGCGGCGCCCCCTCTTGGCCTGCAACCGGCACGGTCGCGCCGGTGGCGCCTCCCTCGGCGCGCGGCCACGGCTCGGCAGGCGGCGCCGTCGTCACGTCGGCGCCGCATGCGTCGCGCTGAACTGGAAAACTGAGCGTAAAACGCCGGCTCTCCTCTGTCGCGTGCTGTGTGCAGAGGTCGGCAACAGGGAGTTGGCTGTTTGAGCGTGTTTGCGCCCGCCGGCGGCGGCCGACCGGACGCGGAATTTGAACTCGCAGCTCCGCCCCGCCGCCAGCGGCCGCCTGCCAACCACCGCATGCTGTGCCGCACGACAAGCGGCCGGCGTCGACGGCCAGCCGAGGCCAGGCCGGGCTCCGTACGACGCCGATGAGCAAACTGCTGGCGGGACGACCAGACGGAGTTCGAAGCAGGAGTCAGCGTCATGGTCACCAAAGGGAATTCTCGGAGAACGCATCTTTCGAATCATATCGTCTGGTTAAGCTAACTGTTCTCAAGTAACGGCCGGTGCCAGGTGGCTGACCTCAGCTGAGGCTGAGGTCAGCCTCAGTCCGAGGTCAGCCTCAGAGTCATATTTTCTCTAAAAGGTTAAGTGGCGTTTAGAAAAAAAAACCTTCACACGATCGAGAGTTGCTTGCCGCCTTTTTTGCAACGCTACACTTTAAATGTGTTATTGAAGGATGTATTAAAAGACGTGGCATTGTTTACAGATCACAAATCGCTTGCAACAGCATGTAACAGTTCTCATGCTGGGAAGTCAGGCAGGCTACAACGTCACTGGTGTGCTATCGCTGAACACGTCGTAGAGGCAGAGTACCTAAAAAGGAGCGATAATGCAGTGCTGATAACCTGCCTTATCTGGCAAACGTAATTCATGTCGATGTCCACGGCCCAGCCTCTCTCGCGGAACAACAGCTGACTCACCTGCTGACTGCTGAGCTCAAGCACCGTCTGAGGGTCTGTCTGGATCTACCCCCTCAGAGATGACCTTGAGATTTGACGCAGTCGAATATTCGACGCCTCGCCCTAGACATTTTGTGTCATGCACTACACGTCATGGTTTGTTTGATGAATTGCACAACATGTCACACACTGGTCAAAAGACCTCCCAGCGTCTGATCACAGCTCGCTCCTTTTGGCTGATAGGCATTTGCAGATCAATGTCACTGCAGATCAGTGCCGCGGTATCTTGCAGCCAGTGGCAGATCCAGGATTTCGTGAAGATCTTGCAACATTAGGGCCTTAAATAGCACGCATTTCGGCAATTAAATGAATGTTTGAATAAATGAATTAGATGTATATTATGTATGTTACGTGTATACGAAACCCATCTTACTGCGCGCAGCCCTAGAGACCTAGGCGTGTTACGTATGCACAGACATGTAGCTTGTTCACTTTCTCCAGGTCATGGCGCATCCTGTCATTTTGAGGCTACCTATTTCGGAAATACATGACAAAATGCACTAAAGCTGGCCGCTAAGTACCATCCAATGCAAGCACGAAATTGATTCCTAGATTTGGGTGCATTTCCAGCGCGCCAAGAATGTTCTATTTTATGTGTTGTCACGTAGAATCCTTGCCTGGGGTGCTTGCAGCGTAAAAGCTTTTGTTTACATCTTCGTAAGTGTGACAATAACTACGTGTGCAAAGACACAAGTTTTCGTTTGGAGGTTCTATGAGTGCTCCTAAGAAAGGAAACTGCACATTTTGGCCTTTGTAGCGGATCAAACACATTTTCACCACCCGTGGTCGGTTATGGGTACTTTTTCGAATGATCTAATAAAAGGCTTCTTTTACCCTCGACGACCGCGAGCCATTTCCAATGCGGGACAATTGCTTCCGGCTTAAGGCCAGGCAAGGATTGTGCTAAACTCGCCTATGCTGTCCGGTGCAAAGCAAGGGAGGGGGTATTTTTAAAGTCACGTTACCTTAATCTAGCTCATTTTTGTTCAGAAAGATCATGGCAAGTGAAGAAACCCTGCCCGATAGTTATATGTATTTCGCCGCCACACAACACGCATTCAATAATCTTGAACGGCAAGTGAGCCTCCTCACCGGTCCTTGCGCCAAATCCCTCGCATGCAGCGCGTCCTGTGCATTGTCCCCTTTGTAATGAAATCTGCTGTGTCATTTCTGTGTCACTCCAAATGAATTGCGGAAAAGATTTTGTGTGTCCAGCAAACACTCTATGTGACGTCACCTAGAATCGTTGTCGTCTGAGTTGTTGCGAACACCAAACGGAGCAGAATCTATGGGGCATGATGTCATGAGTGACCTCAACGGCATATAGCCTTATTCCCTCTTCAAGGAATGTTTGATAATTGCGCGTAAAATTCAACGGCACATATTCAACCGTTACTCTAAGGGTAGTTGCCAAGAGAAATACTCATCCTGCAGGCTGGGAATAGAGTGCATGAAGTAATATAATGAGGCCCGTGCACACAAGAAGGCGAAACGTCCTGGCGCTCGCGAGCACACGTGGGGCTTTCAGCAACAGAGTAAGATTTTGCTGACCTCATGGGAAGAGCTCACAACTAATGTTGAGGGCCTGCGAGCCAGAAGCGCCTACTGATTAAAGGGAGTGTTCCACCTCTGTAGAATATTGCAAAACATGCTCCACTGAAACCTCAGGTGTAGTTGCCGCTAACAGTAGCACTGGGTACTGCCGCGGCAGCACCGTCAATACATGACAATGCTATCAGTTTTGATTATTTTCGTGACCAAATTATGCTGTCAGGGCTTTGTAACAGCACCGCTCTTTTTCCCTGCAGTTCCAGCCAATGTCGTCATGGCAACCATGGCGCGCACCTCTTCTGGTACGAATACGATAACATTTGCGATTGGCCTGGCGGGCAAGGGCCTGCTATCGAGGAGTATATTGGCCAAAGTTGATCCAATGCGTCACATGAATCTTGTGTTACTTCCATTCCCAAAGCTAATGTGCGCCTCGAAAAGACCCACTGGGTAAACGCCTTTGGGGCGAATTAAAGCCATGACACAACGTTTCGTTGAATTCGCGAGATATCAGCTTCGTGCTCGCATAAATTTGTGTCTGAGACACAAACAAAAAAGATACGGAGAGCTGGCAGTAAGTCCCATTAAGGCACCAAGGACCCCGACGCGCAGAGCCGGGCCCTCAAATATCAGTCAAAGGGCCTCTTGCATCGGTGTAAAATATCCTGGAACAATGCGGACCTCTATATCGGTTAAAGAGCGGCAACACCTAACAGACGTCTCCGTGCCGGTCTGAGCCCTGGGGCCATCTCCCAAGCAGGGACAAGGTCGGGACGCGCGATGTGCATTGGTCGGACCCCTAAAACAATGAGCGCTCCTATGCCTGTGAGGCCCTACAGTGCCCAACAGAGGGTTCTATGTCGACAAGGGTCTCAAGTCGGCCTGGGTAACTACGGGTACTTTAAAGCTCATGTGCGTAGGCACCGGAATCACATGTGGAAGTCCAGCAGTTTGCATCAGCTTCTGAAAAACGCACCTTTTCCGTGAAGCTGGAAGCATTGGTACCTTTTCTGAATATCCAAAAAAGAAATAATTTACGAAGTGGTTTTTGACATTATCTATACATTAACAAGAAAAGGGTGTTCTTATCACACGTGGTTTGCACAATTCGTTCATACGCAGGTCCTTGACAAACCGAAGTTTCATCGATGCAAATTTGCATTAGTATTTCAGCTGAAGCAAAACAAAGCATAGGCGCTCCTCCATGCATCAGCTACGAAAATTGTCTTCAACCTTTCCCCAAAATAGCTTAAGCAGATACCCTCGTGTTGAAAATGCCTTTCTCTGCTCATTTCATTACCCACGCTTTGCAAGCCTCCTGAGTTTTGGGGAGACACTGTTCCGAGCCTTTGTGCCTTTATATATATATACATATATATCACATACTTTTACTTTCTATAACTCAAGTATAGGCCAGACGCTACCGCAGGATCAGTTCTGCCTTAAGTTTACGGCAAATAAACTGAAAACAATATGCTTTAAATGACCGCCTGAAATAAATCGTACGGCGCTCCTCATCTTACAGCGGTCTAGTGAACTCTTTTTAAAACGACAGATCTCAGAGACTTCGTCAGAATTTTCATCTGGGTCGTACAAAGACAGCAAGGATTTAGCGAATGTAGTTTGAAGATATAAATGGGTCAACAACTTGTTATAACATGGCCAAGCCATGTTTGTCAGAATATGTCCAACATTCAGTCAGAATCGATAAATGGCAAAATTATGTAACGTAGTTTTGAGCATGCGCGCTCGTACACCGAATAACAAAACCTCGACGCCAGGCGTTGCAGTCTCCCTAGGCCCCGCATCGTCGGTCTCGCGACTAACATCAGGCCGTGACTAACAGATGGACGAAAATGATGACGCATTTGAAAGAAGTGCCTTTTAACGCTTTTGGAAGTCAAATCATACATTTAGAGATATTCCGGGCGTACATCTCACCTGTGCAGTCTTTAGACTAGTGACAACAACGTATGTAACCTGGGATCTCGCAGTGGAACTGGGAGAGTAAAGGTAAAATCTTTATTTCCCGTGTTGCTGTAGCTGTTGATCTGTTCAGAGGACAACCTCAAATTGTAAAAATATATTTACCCAGTCGTATCTTTGAAGTGTGCGAATACATTTTGAAAGAAATTCCGAAACATAATTTTACGATGGTCATTGTTGCGCGCACGGCACCTGCCCCCTGGCGTTACTCGCAGTGGCCAACACCGCTCGGTTTTACGAAAACTACAACCCAAGCAATCGCTATGCTTGCTCCCCTGGATTACAGGCGTGGCAATGGGGCTTTGTGACGCACTCAGCTGCTGGGCTATATGGCGTCGCTAGCCTCTCACCCTGGCGCCAAGGGGAGTCGTAACTTGTACTTGTGGTTTCCAAGACGCACCGTAGTTAACACAGGCGCG